AGTTTGTCAGTCCCCAAACCTGTCTCGCACTCGTTGAAGCAATAACACTGCCCAGGGTCCTATACAGATGTGAGCTCTGGTCAGCACTAACAAAAAACTGAAATTACGATGCTTGAGAGAGCATACAGATATATAATCAAGTGTACTCAAGGATTGCAGAAACTAACACGTACTGAGGTCTGTTTGCGTCTACTTTGTTATTCCACTTGAAGGCGTGATAGACTCCAGAAAACTACTGTTCTTCGGCAGGCAGTTGGAAATGGTTACGTCATATCGTCCATACAAGATACTCCTCACTCGATTGATCAGCTTTCACCATGGATGTTCACCAAATCAACAAGGTCTTGTGCCAGATAACTATAGACTTTGTGATAAGTGGCATAATGGATTATATCATGACTTTTCTTGCCAACGGTATAAAACGAAAGTAAAATCTGCAGTATTCGACGTTCAATCGAGATCTTGGACTGAGCGGATCCATAACGACTCACATCTCAAAGAATTCATGCACATTCACTCTTCATTATCAGTTCACCCAGGATGGGTAGCTGTGTGGAAGAATCCATTCCTTAGACATTCTGCGGGGTATTTTATGAAAATTGTAGCCGTTTACAAACTTGAAGTCTGAGGAGTATATGTGCGAACACTATGGAAGCCTCTTTTCAGATCCCTTGTCTCACATCATAACGTCATGTGAATATACATCTGAAGTGCGAGATGATCTGTGGTGTGAACTTGCCAATATTGGACCAATTGATTTAAATGTTTTTTCTTCACAATATATCTGAAGGTGATCTGACCCTAAATCTGCTATCCCGCAATCCTAACTTCACTTAAGGTGAAAGTGATAGATCACAATTCACACTGACTGCTGTACGGTGCGTGTATAGGATGTGTACTATAAAACACAAACTGGCTTCTAGTACTGAGGGAATGATGGAAAGAAGACTGAGCCACTCTCTATTTCTGATGTAATCTTATAATTCTCATTATATTTCTGATGTAATCTTGTAATTCTCATTGTACGAGCTCTCCGCAATGGAGGAAAGTGAAAGTATATATGCACTTTGTGCACAATGAACCTACTCACATTTTGCATGCTTCTTGACACCAGAGGTTCACACACCTGATATTGAATATTGAAGAACAGTTGATTATTCTCTTGCCTCTGAATGTTGTGGAAAACATTAATTTCAACCTGAACTACGCGTACGTCATGCCACGGCTTACAGAGAATCAGAGCCGTGGGTATGCTGGAGACTGGAATGGCCCAAAATGAAGTGGCCAGACACTGATTTTGGTGTTCATCGAAACACGATCTCATTTTTATGGAGACGTTTTTAACATTATGCCTCGAACCAGCTGTCCACGACTGACGTCACGACAGCAAGACAACCACATTCGGCTGACCCATCTAAGGAATCGATTCCAGACTGCTAGTTTGACTGCTCGAACCATTCCTGGCTTACGTCACGTCAGTTCCAGGACTGTAGGAACCGACTGAGGGAACACAACACCCGGCCCCGACGGCATGCAATACGTCTAATTTTGCTCCAACGTCACCGACAGGCACATCTTGCCTGGTACGGACACATCTGCGGTACAGGAGGCAAGATTGGAATGTTTTGTTCACTGACGAGCCGAGATTTCATCTAGACAGATCAGATGGCAGGGCAAGGGTGTACGGACGGTGAGGTGAACGGTATGCTGACGTAAGCTTTATGGAACAGGGAGACATAACATTTCATGGTCGGACACAACGTGTCATTGGCAGTCGGCCAGATCTGCGATACAGGGATGACTTCATTGGGACTCATGTGCAGCCGTTCATTCAAGGACAGAGACTAACTCCACGCTTCAGCAAGCAGTGGCGTAGCTACAGCGTAGCACAAAAAGCACGTGCTTACACTTTAAAATTGAAAACAAAATGTTTTGATTCAAGATGAAAAAAAAGTAGTATTTAATTTGTTTTCATGTTTTCTGGGTGGTTTCTGGTATAGTACCGTGGCACCCGAACGCAACTCGCCTCGCGGATCATTTATAGACAAACATGTTTTGTCTACACTGTGCAATAAATCGTGTCTGGAAACAGGTCGAAATCGTTTGTTCAGTAGGCTATATCGTTGATCTGTTCTTTGAAATTGTTTTACCCCTTAAGTATTGTATCTTTTATTATGTGCAGAAATGAGTACAAATCTGCAAAACGTTCTTCTACAATTGTTTGTTACTTCGTTAAACAACCCGGATTGACTGAAACGCCCGTTTTACCTGACAATAGTACCCAGTGTTCCCAAACACATTCTGATACAATAGCATTATCTGAGTCATGTACTGATTCCTCGCCATTTGGTAAAGCAGACACTCAGAAACCATCTTCTGCCTCTGTTGAGAATTGACAAATATTAAGATTGGTTCACGTACATCGTGATTTCGTGGTAGACATGGACAAAGCCATTGACATATTCGCACAAGGTCTAACTAGAAGACTGACTCTTCTCTTTGACTAACATCTGTGAAGACCTAATGCTGCTCTGATAGTTTGTTGAATCCTCTCGTCATGAGATCCACCTTACGGTTTGAAGTTGAAGTGTTTCATTTACCGAGTTTTAGAGTTGTTTTAATACTTAACTATTTACAATATTTACGTGATCAGGGTCCGCTAGTTTGGATTTAATTTTTATGTTTTGCATGTTTTACCATGTTATTGATGTTTGTCTCAACTTTATCTCGTGTTCAGAAGAATGCTTTACTTTTAAATGTGGCATACTCCCCTGATTTCAAAATGTTTCATCATTTGTGCTTACACTCTGTAGTTTCCTGGCTACGCGCCTATCAAGATATATAATGCCCGTCCACATGTCGCTCGTGTTGTGAGTTCCTGAGACAGCAGAACATTCCGGTACTCCCCTGGCCATCTGTTTCTACGGACCTGTCCCTTCTCGAGCAGGTTTGGGCTGAAATGGAACATCGTTTACGTCAAGCCCAGAATCAGGCAGTGACGTTAGCTGAAATGGGACAAGCGTTGGTTCAGACACGTGGCTTTCTTCAACCGCATAGTGTGTTCTATGCGTCATTGTTGTCAAGCCTGCATCAACGCTAATGGTGGAAACACACGATAGCCTACTGTGAACTGACTTTTGACTCCACATCTCTTCAAGGGTGTGTCACGATGCCTGGTGTCAATTCATACAGATTTCGGTATTATCCTGTCAACAGTTAAACAGTGATTAAGGAAAACACCACAAATAATGGACAGATACTTTATTCCAGTAGTATATGATAAATTGCGGGTTTGTTTTCGCTTTCTTTGTGTTGTTCTTCCAAACTTAAGCATACTCATTTGGCTTAAAGGTCACATGCAACGTAAAACACAACTTTGCAGATTCTGATACCTTTCGGTATGGACTTACCAAAACAAATCATCAAAAATGCAAATTCAAGTTATAAAGTTGAAAAATAACGCGATGAAAAACACCACGCGAAATCGGAGTTCAAACGATTCACTAATTTTCACCCTAAAATTTCTGGGGAAAACGGGTTTCAACAGCTGGGCTGCGCTCATAGCATGTGCGCAGTGAAATAGGTTCGCGCAACTTGGAAGCGGGCTGTCTGGTGAATACTCGGTGAAGGCTTTGGTGTGAGCTATTTTCCTAATGTTTTGTTGATATCTCACAGGCGCGAGCTTTTTATATGTTATGACAGTAAGTAAACTGTTTATATAGTTTCATTTGTCTATTTCACCACACGTCCTTCTTACCGAGTCACTTTCTGAATTTGATACTTAAAAGCAATGTCATTATTTAGCGTTGACAGAATTTCTAACTGTGATATAGATATGTCGTTGTCACAGACAAAACTCAATGTCTTGTTTTATTGACACCTGTGTGTCTGCCTGCCTGTCTGCTAATGACAATATTCAATACACAACTGCTATCACTGACCACATGCAATTTGAACTTAACACCAATCAGGCTATACACCATAAACAAAACGCATTGATTTATGGCCCGAGTTCGGTCTCTGTCACATTATGTAATTACACAGACAGGCAGGTGTGATACTTGAGCACATGACATGTTATGATGTCTGTTGATTGCAAAATGTTATACACAAAATATGAGCATGTATTTACAAAACCCAACATCTCTATATATACACACACAATGAGCTGTGAGGGCGGCATCTGCAAATGAACCAGCCGTTACACTTGAGTGCACACCCACCCGCTCTGACTGGGTTCGGTATCCCGGCTGCTTCGTTTCGAGTGAGGTAAACCCAAGTACAAAATATTGCATTTTTTGATTTGCGATTATACGCTTATAATTTTGTTTATTTGTTTTTTCATAATCAGCAATGCATATTATATGTCATGAAGAAGTGATAATTGTGTTTTAATTATGTTTGATTTTTTGGTTGCATGTGACCTTTAACAAAATATTTTCCTTCGTCAACATACTATATATATACGCCTCATTGTGATTTTATCAACTCAAGTAGTCCACAAAAGGGAGCCCCCAAATGATCATATGACAGGCATAATTTCCTAAATAAATGTGAAGTTATATTACGACTGCTTTCAGTAATGCCTCTTTCGTTATATGTTGGGATTTCTGAAAATATTAATCAAACACATGTTTAAAGTTTTTGAAAGGCATTTAGAAGTTGGATGAACATGAATACATGACACGTTTTATGGATAACAACTTCCTTTTTTATTCTTTACACAACGTTTCAGAGCTAATTCTTGCTCCTTCATCAAGCTCTGAAACGTCGTGTAAAGAATAAAAAAAGTAGTTGTTATCCATAAAACGTGTCATGTATTCAAACCCATGTTTAGTGACATTTCTTACATATGCATGGCAATGTATGGATTAAGTTAATGCGCCTTTACAAAATGTGCCAACCTCAAAACTGCCATCCAGTACGCGACAGTACAGAAATTGTATTTCCCGCTCAGTGTAAAGGCACTTTTGCAGATCACGTGACAACCGGAAGTTGATCGGTGTTGATGGAGGTCGCCATGTTGTGTTGTTGAGTAGCACATGCCTTACCAAATTCAGTTCTTGTTAGGGTGTTATCGCAAAACCCGAGACGATGGCGGGAGAAATTACACATTTTGGTTTTATTTCACCTTTAGGATAACTATTTAAAATAAATATATATCTATCCATACGTCTATTTGTACTTTTTGGCTAGGTTGTTGTTGTCTTCTGTCTCGGAAAACTCGCCGAGTCATTCTTTAATTATCATCAAACTTACTTGTTCCCTGTAAAGTCCGTGAATCTGAGAGTTGATGATGGCGCATCTAGGAGCCCTACCACCAGAGGTAAGATATGTGTGACGACTTATTCTGGTTCTTTTTGTCAAGTACAGATAAATAGTTGCAAATAGACCAACGCAGCCAATCTATTGCAGCAGACATTATGTGCAGGGACTCAGGCCTACATGTTTTGTTATTTTTCATTTATACGTTAAATGCATGCAGTTAATCTAAATAACATCTACATACAGTATAAATACTAATGCATCTAACATTAAAATGTTTGCAACATTAGTTAAAAATTTCTGAATGGACCTATACAGAAGTATAATTTGGCACTAGTATTACTGTCCATGCCAAACTGTCTACGCTTTAGACACACATATAATATAGCAAACACATGCTTCCAATACTCATGCTCATCTCACAATAGGGATTTCCTCGTGGAGTATAATGTATATACTTGGCTAGGATAACATCCATCATCTAATCCTGTTAGTTGTCTTTTACAATAAAGTAAGCATGGTTAGGGGTGAAACTGTATACCACGATATTAGTAGAACCACAGTAATTTTCCTTCAGATCATAATGATCATGAAACCATTGTATGTCACAAGTGAGAGTGATACTGTTGTGTTCAGCCAGTGCCCACTGCTTCTGAGCCATAATTTCTGGTCTGTGTGACAAGTGAGTGGAACTCCACTCATTCACTCACACAATGTTGGTAAATTTCTGCACTTTGTGATCTGTAGTTAGGTGTTGGTGAGTATTTTAGGCCACTTATTTGGAACCAACTGTTTTTCACATTACATTGATATTGAAGGTTGAGTTGAAATAATTGATCAATTTGCTACATTTGAAGTGGTTAATAAGAGATAGTTACTACAGATTTGAGAGCCACTTCACATTACAACTATACAATAGTCCGATAGGACTTCTTTGCTTGTGATGACTCTAGCATATTTAAAACATGACGCTGAATCATCCATGACTACAGACCAGGTGGGTGGGGAATATTTATACCAGTCTCTGTTAAAACAGCAACTCTTTCAATGTTATCGCAAGCTAGGGCTGAGATTAGGGAAATAGGAAAGATGCATACAAGAGAGTTTTCCTCGGATTTCCAGGATTTTTGTTTCATTTTGAACGTTTTTGAGATTGATGTATATTGTAAATCTACAATTAAAGACCCCAAGACCTACGGCAAAATTTTCAGTGTTTTTTTGTGCTTTGTCGTTCTCATGTCTGTAGATGACAGTAATAAAGATAACAACTAGTCTCTGAAATTAACATATTTTACAGAAAAAAAGTTCATAGTAAAAAAATAAAATATAATGAAAAGGAGCCCTGAGACTTTCTTCATTTTCAGAAGGTGTGGAAACCAAGACTTACCATTTTTTCAAGACTTGCAAGGGCTATAATGGATATATTTGCTTCAGGGTCTGTATGACACACTAATGACAGACCACAAAAATAAGCAAAGTTTTTAATCATATTTTTATTTTATGACCACTGAAAAACAGCACTTGGCATTTCCAATGATTTTTTTTTCAAAGTACAAGTAACACTGTTTATTTACGGTGTTTCTATATGTTCAACTTGTATGTTTCGCTTTTCCCACTATTTAGTCTGGACTGTTTGGCATTTTTTCAAATTGGTAGCAATAGTCAGTTTATCAACACTTGTGATGTAGTTCAAACCTCATGTAGGGCTTGTTTTAGGACATTGTTGATTCTATTTGAATGTTGAACTGTGACTGATACCACTATGCCAAAGTAGGTCCATTTTTCATGTTATTTTCCAATATTTTTCTAACACAAGTACCGGTATATTTGATGTAAAAACTAAAGACATGGATATTGTTTAGTTGTTTTGTCTGAAAGAGTTCCCCCGAATAACAATGGTCTGTACCTATTTGATCAAAAGAAACAGGAGTCAACCACATTTTGATGGAATCAATTTGGAGTAAGTCATATGACTATGTCTTTCTAGTGCCTAACAGGCAGCTTGGGTTATCCGGGGTAATAATAGTCAGATTCTGATAAAGCGCCGCGAGCAATCACTTGGTGTTTGGAGACTGTGCACTATTTTTAAGTCTTACTTTGAAGTGATCAAACCTGGAGATTTCCATATTGAACTAGCTAAAGCAAACCATTCTGCAGACACAAGTCCAACAAACACATTAGTTTTAGACCACCCTTTGACTTTAATGTACAGACTGTGTCCTTGTGTATTTATATGAACTTATTGGTGACATTGATGTTTTGTTCCAATTTACCTGCCAAAGACTTATAAGTTATATGCATGGAAACGAATAAGGGAACACATTAAAGTACAAGTGTTCCTTTATTTATTTCCAGAACTTCACTCACAGTGCAATACATACTTTGTGAAGAAACCTGGAAAAGAATAAAGGAACACTTGTACTTTAATGTGTTCCCTTATTCGTTTCCATGAGTATATTTTGGATTTATCTGTGTGTGGTTATTACAGTTAGTGTCGGTGTTTCAGGAGCAAGGCTACATTGCTGACAAGATTGTAAAGGCAGAACGGAGGATCAAGGCCTATCCGTCAGATACTGAGGCCTGGAGTATTCTCATCAGAGATGCGCAGGTACAACATGATTTTGAATGTCATAGCCTATTGTTTTCATTTGAGATTCCACAAAGGTACAATGTGCTAAGCCCATGTATCTCACCCGTGTCTCACTCATGTCATCAGTAGTGTTTTGATTTACATGTTGACATAGGGGCGGTGGGGTAGCCTAGTGGTTAAGGTGGCCGCTCATCATGCCAAAGACCCGGGTTTGATTCCCCACATAGGCACAATGTGTGAAGCCCATTTCTGGTGTCCCCTGCCGTGATATTGCTGGAATATTGCTAAAAGTGGCGTAAAACTAAACCCACTCCTTGACATGTTGACATGGTGGTTGGTGGTCTGTCAGAGATAAGTTAACAGTGTCATGTTCCGACATACAGCCAAATATTGCGTGTGTGGTGATAATCAACCAGAGAGTTAACCATAACTTTCAATTTCAAGAGAACCTATATTTTGTGCATCAAGTTTGTTGCCACTTTTGGAAATGCATCTGAACCATTAATCAGGATGATGACATTCCTAGAAAGCGTTTCTAAACTTCTGGATAAATGATTGATACATGATATATTAATGATGACCTTTCATAAAGCAGAATATTGATGCACATTCCCATTAAAAGCATCTGGCAGCCCCAGTACAATTTGTATTATTCAGAATGGATATGTAGAACAATCACTGCATGAAACATGTTTGAAAATATGTTTGATAATAAATCGCTTTCAATGCATCATGTTGCAACATATTCACTGAATTTCTTGTTTGTTATTTTAGATGAAAAAGATTGAAGACGCGAGGGTTGTCTATGAACGTCTGGTGGAACAGTTTCCAAATGCTGGGAAGTACTGGAAAATCTATATAGAGCAAGAGGTTATTAAGTTTATACCTTATAATTATTGTGATACAGTAGATACAAGGACATAATCCTTAATGTAGGCATTTCCTCATATTTTCTCTCTTGAGAAGAACTTCAGATCTCAGAAAGCTGCATGAAGTGGCCCAGCACCTGTGAAAACAAGGGATTTGGTACAGACCATTACAATCAAATTCATTAAAAACAGATCTCTAACTCTGATATCATACCACTTTGAGAAGATATAAGGGGTTATCTTTTGCCATCTTCTGCCTATCAGAAACAAAGCTTCTAAATCCTTGGTAGGGGTTAGTTAACAAAACATGAAGACCAGCACGTCTGATTTCTTTGTCTCGAAAACCAACTTCATTATCATGTTTTGTAGGCCAGTATTAGAGCTTGCACCAGCGAATGGTTGTGGATAATTTATTCAATGTTGCTTGTGCTCCATGGCATCAATAGCCGAGATGGAGCTCCAGCAGAGGAATGTTTGTGTTATGTTTGTATGTATGGTTTGGTTTAAATCATATTTTTCTAATCATGATTGTAAAGAACTTAAGCTAACTGGATCAAGGACTTGCTCATCTTTCATTGACATTAAGCATTAAAAGTTCTCTCAAATTTCACTTTATACAACATCGTGTATATGGTTATGAGATCTTAAGGCGTATGATCATGAAGGAGAGTTAACAGATCTGATTTTTATTATATTATTGACAATCAAGACATTTGAACGTGAAAAACCTTCACAGGATTTCTGACCCTGCATTTGGAATGTGTCCTTGTTTTTTCTTAAGCATAAATGATTATTGGAAGTGTGAACCAGATGTAGCAACATTTCCGGATGTGATTAAGGAATCATATGCAGACTTTGTCTACATGGATTGCTGAAAGAGGAAATTTGATTGCATGAAAATGATCATTTATGTCTTGTGTATGATGCAGTCTTGAGTTCAGGAAAGTATGCTTTTTGTGAAGTTTCATGATTAGGTTACCATGGTTACTTTACCAAGTTTGTCTTGTGGGTTTATTTCTCTTTTTGAGAATGTTGCATAAAACCACTTCAAACTGACATGGCCTTTGACTTTTCACTGTGTTGTTTCAATTTTTTCTGTGTGGTGAGAATGAGATGTGAAAGTTTTGGTACTTGCAACATAACATCATCTTTCTGCTCGTCCCCAAATTACATTCCAAAACTATTTTGTCCAAAACCCAATACCCAACGTTTAGTTGACTTGACATTTGATGCCAACATATCTGAGCATGTTTAATAAATGCAATTGTATGCTACAATGTGCCAGTCATGCACTCACATTGTATCAAATAATTGTTTCTTTTTGGGGAAGTTAATTCCATGTCTGTGTTAAGTCTTATTTTAATGTAAGAATGTAAACCTCATTGGGGAGAAGTAAGTTATTTCGAGTATCTGTTCATAATACACAGGTACTGTGCATCTTTGTTTAGCTTCACAGAAATCTTTGATGAAAGTTGTAGGGTTTGGGGTGGGGTTTTTCTTTAAAGGGTGATGGCAGATGGACATATATGTTAACCCTGGCTGGGTGGAAACACATCTTGAGCTTGAGACACATTATAACAAAAGCTTATCACAGCTCAATGATTTGGTTAGTACACCAATGGATGTGGTACTGATTTTTCATTGGTTGAATTATGCTTTTATGGAAAGCTTCAGGTTTCGGACCCATTTGGGTCTAATATGGTGAAAATTGTTTGACTACATACAAGATTACGGACGTAAGAAAGGAACTACATTTTTAAAGCTAGTCCTATCTTACACTGTTCAGCTTGTGAGATAGGATGTGCATATAAATATACCATTTATTGTAAGATTTCAGTCTAGGGAAATGATACTTGCAAGTAAGCAAATTTTACTTGATGTGGAGTAAGCATACAAGCCACTTAACACATAATTAAAACTGTTACGTAAGTGCAGGCAAGCGTGAATGTGACTGGGAGAGAAAGATGTTGAACTTGTCATGTTTAATGAAGTTTCTTTTCAGGGATAATTGTCTTTCATTCATTGTTGACATGTTACTGCTTTTTTAACACTATTTATTCATGTGTTGAAAAGTCATGTTTTCATGTAATTAACTCTATTTCAGATTGTTTGTGACAGATTGACAAAATCTTCCATAAAAGTCATTTGTGTACTTAATCACTCGAGCTTGTTTTTAAACATGCTAAGTATTTGGGACATAGCAAGGTTTGGATATAACCATACAGATAATTTTATGATAGGACATGGTGATTAATATTATTTCACAACATGTACAGGTATCAGCTGTTGTACCAAGGTCTTCAGATTGTGGTAATGTTGGCGATGAAATAAACATTACCAACTTAAAAGCTTATCTTACTTATCTTTAGCCTTGTGTTTGTTTACTCTATACATATGTGGAGGGATTATCTTCATGTTTTATGAGGTCACATGTCCTTATAAGTCTCTAGATAAATCCTGAAGCATGCTATAACATGGCTCCCTCTACTCAGTGTAAATGCAAATAGGTATAATCTTTAGCATCCAGGAGTCCCTTGGCCATCATATATGTTTCTTGCCTTTGGAGTTGTGGGCCATTTATGGCTGCAATTCACCGTGCAGTGTGGCATCCCTTGGGCACACCAAAGAGAATCCTGATTCTCCTTTGTGTATATTTATAGTTGTCACCACCATACAAGTGCTCATTGGTTTCACCAAAGGTGTAACTCACTAAGACATGCATGGCGTCCGGCTTTTCCTACATTGAGCTGACCTTCCATGGCATGACTGGAATACTGTTTTAAGCAGCATTAAACCCAACTTAAACTTTGCTCAGTCGTTTTTTGTGTGGTAAATGTTTTCTTGAAAACTGGGAAAGAAATCCTTATTGTCCTGGAATTTACATGCACTACACAAGTGGGAACCACTGCAACATACTGGCACAGAAGGGTATATTGGTGCAATCTGTCATAAAAGGGTATGTTCGTGCAATCTGGCACAGAAGAATATATTGGTGCAATCTAGCACAGAAGGGCCTAGTAATGCCTACTGGTTCAGGAAGGCAAATTGATGCATGTCGGCACAAAATTGTATGTTGTTGCATACTGACATGGTTGGGCATATTGTTTCATACTGGCAAAACTGGGCTGTGTGTTGAATACTGACATGGGAGGGCAAGTTGTTGAAGTCTGGCACAGCAGGGCTTAGTGTTGCATACTGGTTCAGGGAGGTATACTGGTGCATACTGGCATCGTAGGGTATATTGTTGCATACACTATTACAGGCACAGTAGGGTATATTGTTGCATACCGACACAGGAGGTATATTGTTTCATACCGACAGGAGGTATATTGTTTCATACCAACAGGAGGTATATTGTTGCATACACTATTACTGGCACAGTAGGGTGTATTGTTGCATACCGACACAGGAGGGTGTATTGTTGCATACCGAATTGCGAGGGTGTATTGTTGCATACCGACACAGGAGGGTATGTTGTTGCATGCGCTATTACTGGCACAGGAGGGTATATTGTTGCATACTGACACAGGAGGGTGTATTGTTGCATTCCGAAATGGGAGGGTGTATTGTTGCATACCGACACAGGAGGGTATGTTGTTGCATACTGACACAGGAGGTATATTGTTGCATACCGACAGGAGGTATATTGTTGCATACCGACAGGAGGTATATTGTTGCATACACTATTACAGGCACAGTAGGGTATATTGTTGCATGTCGACACAGAGGGTGTATTGTTGCATACCGACACAGGAGGGTATATTGATGCATACAGGCACAGGAGGTATATTGTTCCATACACTATTACAGGCACAGTAGGGTATATTGTTGCATGTCAATGCTGGAGGATGTATTGTTGCATACCGACACTGGAGGGTATATTGTTGTATCCAGGCACAGGAAGGTACATTGCTACACACCCACACAGGAGGGTACATTGTTCCATTATTCCGCATAGGAGGGTGTGTTGTTGCATGCTGACACATGAGGGTGTATTGTTGCATACCGACACAGGAGGGTATATTGCTACATACCAATACATGAGGGTATATTCTTGCATATCGATCGTGAAGGGTATTGCATACCAACACAGGAGGATATATTGTTGCATACCGACACGGGGGTATATTGTAGCATACAGGCACAGGAGGGTAGATTTATACCCATAGGAGAGCATATTGTTGCAGGCAGGCACAGATAGGTATATTGTTCCATGCAGACACAGGAGGGTGTATTGTTGCATACCCACACAGGAGGGTTATATTGTTCGATACCAACTCAGGAGAGTATATTGTTGCATACCGACACAGGTTGGCATACCGACACGGGAGGGTATGTTGTTGCATACCAACACAGGAGGGTGTATTGTTGCATACCGACACAGGAGGGGATATTGTTGCATATCGACACTTGATGGTATATTGTTGCATACAGGCACAGGAGGTATATTGTTGCATACACTATTACAGGCACAGTAGGGTAAACTGTTGCATATCGACACAGGAGGGTGTATTGTTGCATATCGACACAGGAAGGTATAATGTTGCATGCTGGCATGGGAGGGTATAGTGTTGTATACAGGCACAGATAAGTATTTTGTAAATACTCCCACAGGAGGGTATGTTGTTTCATATCGACACTGGAGGGTATATTGTTGCATATCGACACAGGAGGGTGTATTGGTGCATATTGACACAGAGGGTATATTGTTGCATACTGGCATGGGAGGGTATAGTGTTGCATTCAGGCACAGATAAGTATTTTGTAAATACTCCCACAGGAGGGTATATTGTTGCATATCGACACTGGAGGGTATATTGTTGCATACAGGCACAGGAGGTATATTGTTGCATACACTATTACAGGCACAGTAGGGTATATTGTTGCATGTCGACACAGAGGGTGTATTGTTGCATAACGACAAAGGAGGGTATATTGTTCGATACCAACTCAGGAGAGTATTTTGTTGCATACCGACACAGGTTGGCATACCGACACGGGAGGGTATGTTGTTGCATACCGATACAGGAGCTATATTGTTGCATACCGACAGGAGGTATATTGTTGCATGCACTATTACTGGCACAGTAGGGTGTATTGTTGCATACCGACAGGAGGTATATTGTTGCATGCACTATTACTGACACAGGAAGGTGTATTGTTGCATACCGACAGGATGTATATTGTTGCATGCACTATTACTGGCACAGGGGGATATATTGTTGCATACTGACACAGGAGGGTGTATTGTCGCATACCGACACAGGAGGGTATATTGTTGCATATTGGCACAGGAGGGTGTGTTGTTAATACCGACACAGGATAGTATACTGTTGCTCACCTAAGTATTTTGTCATTGAGTAAGTTTACTAAGCAGGTATGTTCTGCCTTATGTCATACCTAATTAAAACCAACTTAAATATAATGGAAATAATTTCATAAAAAATCACTCATCCTATACTGACAATTGCAATCAAGGTCTTTTTCATTATGCAAGCGATTTTTATAAATATATTGCGTACGCATTTGTTTTAAACGTTTTGCGTATCAAACATTTTAAATGCGTAATTGGTACGCAACAATTATTTTTCAATGCGTAGTTGGAAATTTTCTATGCATATTTTACCGGGATAAGCAGCTTATCTAGGCCTCTGCTTTTCTAACACAGCTATTATAAGCCACTCGCAATAATTTCAAAGAGCAAAGTTACGTCATGTTCACTGCTTCACAGACAGTATGGTGTATTTAGTGACATAGACCTCAGTGGGTGAGTGTATTTGTACACACTAACAAAACCTCTGATGATAGCAGATATTTGTACACACTGACAATAACCTCTTGGGTTAGTGTGTTCCTACATATTGACATTAACCTGAAAGGGAAACAGGGCGGTTGGGTAGCCAAGTGGTTAAAGCGAGGACCCGGGTTCAATTCCCTACATGGGTACAATGTGTGAAGCCCATTTCTGGTGTCCCCTGCCGTGAAATTGCTGGAATATTGCTAAAAGCAGCGTAAACCATACTCACTCAAAGGGAAACAACTCTACTTAGAAAGCATCAAAGTATGGATCAGGTCTTTCCTCTGTTGAATGTTAGTTTGATTATTATGGACTATAATATCTGCAGTTTTACTTGTTCTCAGCAACCGTATCAATGCACTGCATGACACGTCACTTTTCGGAGGATCGAGAATGAGAAGCTGTCTTTTATGACAAAGAACATACAATAAAGAGGTTCAACCAAACTGACATATTTTTGTGGATGTGTATTGCGAAATCAGACAAATTATTCCAAGACATTATTATTTACTATTTATATTGTATTTCTTGCTAGGTATACTTTATACTCAGATAAAAATATTTCTGTGTGTATGATCTCGTAAAATAAGCCAATGGCTAACTATCGACTGTATGCACATTTTTCACTAATCTACAGGTGATTAGATTAAAAAATACCCAACAATATAACTTCAAAGAAGTTTGGTTCAATGGTTGAATGGAAAGAGTTATTATCAGATATAATATATTCCAATGTCAAGTTATTTTAGTTGCATGTTTTACATATTTTATAAAATAATAGCGCTTTGGAATAATTGACTGCTATTGCGCTGTAATTTGTATCCATGAAACAGGGTATTCAGTAACTGTTGAGGACTCGGACACTCCTGCTGCACACAATCAATGAGATAGCACACATGACATCTAGTGGTGGTCTGATTGATTGAAATAATCGAAGACTGGTCGCAGTGGCCGAACGACCAAGCAATCAATCACATTTTCTCATAATCGAACAAAAACAATTTTGGAACCGCTGTAATAGTGTTTGAAATACTTGATGATGGAACATATCTAGGACGTTGTCAGGGCCTGAAAATGTGTTTATTTCTTAGAAAACTCGCTCCACTTTCTGAAAAGTCATGACTGAATATTTCTTGAAGAATCTGGGAAGTTAATGTTACACTGGAACTGAATCATTTTACACTGGATGTGAAATCTGCAAATGTAATTTGTGCTGTTATTAAAAAACAACAGAGAACCAATGTTTTTTTCTTTATACTTATTTGCAACTACAACATGAATAGGAAAATCTAAAAAATGATGCTAACCAATTTTTTTCGATGATTGGTCGTTGGTATTGAACCAATCATCAATTGTGAGTTTTCAACCAATTCCCAACACTAATGACATCTATTTATCAGTCAACATACTAACATTGACTCCTTTGTACAGCTTAGATTTGGACATATTCTATGTGCTATACTATGCCTACATACATAAACTCTTTTGACAAATCCTTTCTTGTTGCTTTGCCACGTGCATATTACACAACATGTAAGAAATTCACCACTT